AGCTTCACATAGAGCATGAAGAAAGTAGTCCAAGAACAAATCTGCACAGGATTGGGACTCCTTAGGAGACATGAGGTCCTTAGAAGTTCAGTCATATAAGAGCAGAAAGCAAATTGAACTGCATGAAAAATACCAGATAGATCATGCATGATAAGAACCAGTAGTTCACCTTCAGATAGAAGCTATGTACAGCCTGCAATTTACTCTCATCAACAACAAACAAGTATTTCGGAACGCACAATATACTAATGCCAGTGTATCGATACATGCAACTAGGTAAGACAGAGGAATCACTGTGCCTCTTGAAGCTCAAACTTGCTGAAATAGGGAATGTTATTAGAGACGAAATCTCAGAATGAGCATACCAGAACCCTCAGCAAATATTGAATATCAGTTCCACATGCATCTGCTTATGCATGATACATCCGATGCAAGCAAGGACCAGTTGAGCTCCATATCCCCAATTTGCCACATCTTGGACAATCTTATGGTCCTCGGGAATTTGCAGTGTCGGTAGATGACTAGGTGTGTACAGAAAGTTATACAAGAAAAACAAATATCTCCAAAAAGACGGTCTTAGCACTGCCAGAATGAAAGCCACTCATTCCCTCATCGCACACAGCACAAACGGAAACTTTCATGACCTCTAGGGAAGACCACCACAAGTGACCACCATGTCCAACTACGCCAAATGTAGATGATCCTGTAATATAAGCACTCTGTCTGAATCACACATTGTAAGATTATAATCCTTTTAGACTAGATTAGAAAACGATGGGATATAAGTAGATTGCAATGCTTATCCTGCATCTGAAGAACCAGACCAGCAGTAAGTAGATTGCAATGCTTATCCTGCATCTGATGAACCAGACCAGCTCCATCTGCTACCAATGAAGGCTTTAATTTAAAAAGACGCTGCGACAAGAAACAGCGGGCAAAAGGAGCACCAATAACGCAATGTATTAAAGATAAAAGCAAAAAGCACCATCGATTTCAAAAGGAAAATGGCCAAAACTGGGGCAAAAGGCCCCATCAATTTCAAAAGGAAAATGGCCAAAACTTACCCCATGTACTATCCAAAATTTCGGAACTTTGCGCTCCGTTACACTTTGGTCTAATATTACTGCTACCATTAGGAATAGTCTCGTTTTTGTCCATGACCCCTAAAGGAGCTCCTCCAACCCGAGAGTAATATAACCCATACTCAAAGTGGAGAGGTAAATTTGGAACTTCATTTCGAAGAATTTGGACGTGTGGATTCCACCCATCTCATGTTGGAGCTCCGTTAATAGCAACAGCAAATACGAGATAACTTGCCAGCGATGAAGGTATGAATGGACCACAAGTCTTACTCAGGGCAAACATGCAATTTCGCAAAGTGCAGGCGCAATTGAGAACCCAGAAGGAAGAAAAAGTATCACCGACAACATAATATGCAAAATCAACAAAATGAAAGAAGAAGCAAGTAAGCAAAGGATAACAAAGATTAAAAATATCAGATACAAATTGCAGAAAATAATTTAAGAGTGGCAAGAACTATCAAAAACGATGAAGACCAAATTATCTAGAAGAAAACACTTCATAGAAACTATTCAAGGAAAGAGATGAGCTCACACTTGGTGTTCAGAAGGAACAACCAATTGGCAGACATATGAGGTGGGAGGAGACATTCACTAATGTGTCCATGAGTAAGATTCACATGAGAAAAGGAAAAGGTAACGAAAGAACTGGAGAATAAGAAGTCTAAGGGGCAAAAAGACCTTTTAGCATACTTCGCTAAATGAGCCTAATATGGGGATAACTGGCTAAAGGAGCACTGATCCGGGGATATAGTCTAGCTAAAATAGTCCTAATCTAGGGGATATAATCAGTTCCCGTCACCGATGTTCTATCAGACATCTCCAGACAAAACTGATATGTAGTTGATAACATCAAATCTTCGGTGCCTACATCACTAACCTTTTTCTCTTCGTTCATCCCACTTCAAAATCTTGACCTTCCCTATAGCGAGACAGAACAGAACAAGTTAGCCAACCCACTACCATCCTCCACTGGACTAAGCTGCCTTTGATAGCTATTAGGATTACGATTCAATTCCCATAAAAAAAGCTCGCCAGACCCTTCGATAGTTAGTTAGGAGAAACAACAAACAGAACAAAGAAGATTAATCTATAGCTAGCATATAGTCACAGATCTGAAAGAGCGGAGGATATAGGGTTTACAAAGAAATAATAGTGTCAAAAGCAGAAAGGAAATTAATGGGGGTGATATCACAGCAGATACAGGATAGTTTGGGATTCTGTAAACTCGCATTAAGTGAAAGTAAAGAGAATCCCGACCTACCCACACATAACTACTGCCTCGGACGCCCTTTCTTCTTTCCCCAGACTGGCGCGTGTTATCTCTCCACAGACTGGCGCGTGGTATTCCTCCTCCTTTGAATGGAATCGGACAAATATACCCTCTCTTCTATTTCTGGATTTACCTTCCAATGCTTGAAGATGGAAACTATGAAGAGACCAACTACATAAGCAACATAAATTTGGGGGGGACGGCAATTCCACATTCCAAATCCTGATGTTCCACATGTTTCCTTCTGTTACCACATGATATATTAATCCATATTCTATTCCTCCTGAATCCATTCCCAAATCTCTCAAATCCGCATTAAATGCATTGCCATCCAACAGATGATATACATAGCCTCAACCTACAGTCACTCGCCATCTAACAGAAAGTATGTTTGTCCTGAAAGACAAACATCATGCACTGAGTCACAATTCTGCTTTCCAACGGAAAAAAAAAAAAAAAGATCTTTGCCTTCTGTTCAAGGGTAAGAAACATTCATCATAAGCATTCAATGACCTCAAAGGTAACAATTAGAATGCAGAACGATCCTAACATCAGAAACACAGTTGGAAGGTCATTAATTTGTATGACGTCAAACAAATTCACATTTTAGCAGCAGCATCTAATTGGCCTAAAAACACAAACAAGACGCACAGAATCGCATGTCAGATACAGACAATCGATGCAATGACAAAACAGTGTAATACAGAAGCAGAAGGATACAATAGCATCACAAAGCACCACAAATAAATGCCGTATCCGACGTCCGTTTCAGTGGTATGTCTTATCCTGACTTTAAAAGTATATCATTCGGAAGGGCTCACAACTGAACCATGTTTTACAATAGGATCTTATTCTAATTTTTGTCCTGTCAGATAGAATGTCCTATGTTTTGATATTTTTGTTCAGCTAAGACGTATTATCGTTCGTATAATTCTTATATATTGTGGGCATTTGGTAGTTAATTGCTAAGAAAAATGATGTTTGCTTTCTGGAAGGCTCATAAACTTTCATCAAAAGCACTCAATGACACATAAGATAATAATTATAATGTAGAACAATCCTTACATCAGGCGACACAATTGGGAAGTCAATAATTCTTAAAACGTAATCCAAATTCACAATTTTGCAGCAGCATCTAACGGGCCTAAAACACAAACAAGATGCACCGAATTGCACATCGGATACAGACAATCAATACAATAACCAAACAGAGTAAAACAGAAGCTGAAGGATACAATGGCTTCATAAAGACCAGAAATGCTGCATTCATAGTAGAAAGATTTTTGCCTTTCATCAAGGGCAACGTGAGCATCCAATCACATCAAAGACGAGAACTGACCTGCAATGCTGTCCGTACAGCTCTTAAGACAGAAAGTCATATATTATACGAGCTAGTCTTAATTTATATAACCATCCACAGTGGAAATATATTCTCATCATATTAGCCAATCATGCAAGTCAACCTTCAGAAGGAAGGAACTGATCAGTCTTTTATGTTTTCTATCTTTCCTTTTAAATTATGGTTAGGAGAGAGGGTTTTGGGGGATCAGGGCGAGGATGTCTCAATGTTCAGATTCTGATAATACAGAAGCATGCTGTTGGTAAACCCTACTTATATACAGATAATACGGAAGCATACAGTTGATAAAACCCTAATTCCAAATAAAAGCAGATTCAAAAGGAATTAACTGAGCAAAATTCAATACAATCAGAAATACTAACTAAAGAACAAGTCAAGACACAAAATCACATAGAATATTATATTCAAGTTTAAGTCAAAAACTCAAAGTGGAAGAGCTATAACCAAAAGGGGTCGAGGTGCTGACACTTGAGGAAATTACCCGGGGGAAGTCATGCAGCCATGATAGTTTTTCCCTTCTTTTGTTCCCTTTGCTTTTCTTAGACCCTTCCTTTTGCCCATTAGAGCTTTGCTCTTCAATCTATCCATCTATTCTCTCGAAAACCAGAACAGCAGTATAATATCTGATTGTTCTAGACTCCTTGGCCCCGCAAATGTAGGCCAACCCTCGGCTACCACACATCCCAGCATTATCTGCTATAATGAAGAATGCATGAGGAAAGCAATGTGTGGACTGGTGACACAGAAGTATATTTGGGTGGTAACGTTCAGAGGTTCATGGGGGAAAGCAATGATATAAAGAACTGTTTCTTTGACTTTTGATCAAAACATATGTTTCTCCTAACATTGAAAAGTACACTTTATGGCACTTAGCAAAACTCCAAACCAAGATAACCTGGCAAACTACACCGAGAACTAAAGCAGATTTAACAATATAACTAAAAATACTTGAAGCTTGAAGTAGGTTACCCATGAAATGGAGTAAGAGATGAACAGAACTCAATGGTGACACTACCTGTTAATCATCTAGATAGTGCTGTTCTACCTTGTTACTCTGGATGGCGAAACAAGAAATGCACTCAAAAGCACAATCAATTTCATTAAGCACGCAAAATTGACAGGTGCGCAGTTATTTGTTACACAAAGACTGCTGAGAAAATATAAACAATCGCCAAGGTCCTATCTTACAGAAAAAGAGAAACAAATAAAAAATAAACAGAAAGCCTTCAATTACCAGCCATAAGAATTACTCAGAATAGAGCTAATTTTGAAACCAAGCAAAACTGTGTGACACTAAAAATATAAACATTCTCATTACTGCTTCATGAAACATAAACTATAAAGAAATAAATAAAACCAAACAGACACAACATAAGATACAGAAGGGTATTACAGAGCTTTAAATGGCTCTAGCCATTACCCTACTGAAATTAGACCTACTGACCCTAAAATAAGAACAACAAAGACTTAAACGAAATACCCAAACTTCTGACTAGACTATACAAGTTACTAGTATATTCGAAATCAACCCAAAACAGCAACCTAAGCTAGATCTACTTTTCTGCTATAACGGAAGGTACAATAAAGGAACTTAAACAAGGAAATTTGACAAAATGCTTTGCCAACTCGTCCTTCCCCTTGAAAAAATAAGGGAAGTTTTCGCGAGCCGGGAGCAAAACACAAACTTCTTATTCAAATACTTAAACCCCTATCACCATCAACACCACCATCACTTTACCATCCCAGGATCATCACCATAACTGCAACAAACAAAGCTCAAGTTTCATTGTTTAACTACTCCCACCGTTCATGACAGATCGAGCCTGAGAAGACGCCTCAAGTCACTAGTAGCATCGTCGGTACTCTCACTTTTCTTCTTGTTGAAGAAAGCCGGCACAGGCAAAGAGCTCGGAGGCGGCGAGGTTACAAAAGCCGATCCAGCATAAAAATCACCGATCCTTATCTGCTTCGGCACCATATTCGGCTCTGGACCAAGCCGATCTATAGTCGACAACACCAAATCTTCACCTACTCCACAACTCACCTTTTTGTTATCGTCCTTCAAAGGGACCGGCTTGGTCAACGCTTCACCACGTTTCAGAATCTTCACCTCGCCCATCACCATAGGGCGGTTTTTAGCAGGAGGAGAACTCGATAGGTTAGCCGATCCATTCTTTTGTGGACTTCGCTTTCTTCGGTTGTTATTCTTAGGGTTAGGGTTAGGGTTTGGTAAAGGGTTAGAATTGGAATTACGTCGAGATCTCATAGGCTGTTCATAACTATGACGATAACTTATACGCTGTTTAAGGACATCCTGTGGTTGAAGAACGGCAACTCCGGCCATCGGAAAAACTAGTTACAATCGGATTAAACTTGGATCTGAGAAATTGCAAAAGACGAGAGAAGAACACAAATCTAAAGAGAAAATGAAAAATTCTGTGAGAAAACAAAAAAAAAAAGAAGAGAAGAACTGCTATTGCTATAAATACAGAGAAACAGATCTAATAGGAAGAAGAGAAGAAAGCTTTGTTCATGGATTTGCATTGGGGAAGGGGAGGGGTTATAAAGGAATCAAAGGCGGTCTTGAAAAAAAGAAAAAAGGAAAATAAATCAAATTTGGGAATGACGTGGCAGTAGTAGACAGGTTGGTTTTGGTGCACATTCGCATTTATCGGCGCGTGCAATTTTCTCTCCTTTTTTTGAGTTGAATTAGGACAAATTACTTTTACTTTCTTTTTCATTTCTGGATTTACCTTCCTATGCTAGGAATTGGAAAGTAGGAAAAAAAAGGTAAAAGGAAAGGAAATAAAGGTTATAACATGGGAATGGGACTTATTTCCCTTTTTTTTTTTTTTTTTTTTTTTTTTTTGGTAGGAAATAGGAATATGAAAGGACAAAAGAAAGTTTTATCTAAATTCTCTAGTAACCTCACTTTTAATTCTCCTTCCATTTTGGCTTTTCGTTGTTACCATCTATGTTTGGGTAAATAATACACCCTCTTTAAAATAAAAGGTTTAGAGTTGGGATTTGGACAATAAATAATCTTTCAATTTTTATGTACAAAATCTCTAACTAATTACAACGGCGGAAAATTGAATTATTTGAAACATAATTTCTTTTATAAAAACATTGACCGATGGAATTATATTATACTAAAATAAAAATATATGGGTTTGGTTGAAATAAAAATAGTTAAGTTCTTAAATAGAATTTTTAAAACTATTTCATTGTGTTTAATATTCTCTTTTAAATTACAATGATTGTTATATTCTAAGAAGCTATACACCTTGTTAGAAGGTTGGAGGAACTATACAGAGAGAGAAAGAAGGATCTGCACGTGATGTTTATTGACCTAGAGAAAGCGTATGACAAGGTTCCTAGAGAAATTCTCTGGAGATGCCTAGAGGCAAAAGGTGTGTTGGTTCCCTACATTATGGCGATTAAGGACATGTATGATGGGGCTAAGACTCGGGTTAGGACAGTAGGAGGCGAATCTGAGTATTTTTCGATTGTAATGGGGTTACACCAAGGTTCTGCGCTCAGTCTGTTCTTATTCGCACTGGTGATGGACGCGTTAACACACCATATTCAAGGGGATGTGCCATGGTGCATGCTATTCGCCGATGACATAGTTCTGATTGATGAGTCGCGAGCCGGTGTTGACGAGAGGCTGGAGGTTTGGAGACATGCTCTTGAGTCTAGGGGTTTCAAGCTGAGCAGGACGAAGACGGAATACCTGGAGTGTAAGTTTAGCGCTGAGCCAGGGGAAATGGGCGTGGATGTGAGGTTTGATTCGCAGGTCATCCCGAGAAGAGGCAGCTTCAAGTACCTTAGTTCGATTATCCAGGGGGGAGGGGAGATCGACGAGGATATCACACACCATATTGGGGTAGGATGGATGAAGTGGAGGTTAGCATCTGGAGTCTTGTGTGATAAGAGAGTGCCATCGATACGCAAAGGTAAGTTTTATAAAGCGGTGGTTAGACCGGCCATGATGTATGGGGCTGAGTGTTGGCCCGTTAAGAAATCACATATCCAGAAGATGAAAGTAGCATAAATGAGGATGTTGCGGTGGATGTGCGGGCACACTAGGATAGATAAGATTAGGAATGATGATATTCGGGAGAAGGTGCATATGGCTCCCATTGATGACAATATGCGGGAAGCGAGGCTTAGATGGTTCAGACATATTCAGAGGAGAAGCCCAGATGCTCCGGTACGGAGGTGTGAGCAGCTGGTT